CGGCCAGGTCCAGGGTTCAGACTGCGATCGGCCACGTGGGAGTCCAGCTCCCTTAACCGCTACGCCACTGCCAGCCTACTATGACATTTTTGTATTGCCCTTTTTGTTCATTGCACCTTATTGTTGAACCAAAATTTCCAGACAGTTGGGGTAAACAGCTGAGACACTTGTTACCCCTGTAACCCGATGGCTGGGCACTGCGCACCCAACGCAGGCACCGGGAGGCCCTGCCAGCTGGAACACACGCTGTGCCGTGTCTGGGGCTCGAGTGCGCGAGAGAAGCAGAGCCGGCCTTGAAGTGCGTGTGGGGGGTTGTTAGAGCTCTGTGGTCCTGCGTGTCGGGGGTTGTTAGAGCTCTGTGGTCCTGCGTGTGGGGGGTTGTTAGAGCTCTGTGGTCCTGCGTGTGGGGGTTGTTAGAGCTCTGTGGTCCTGTGTGTGGGGGTTGTTAGAGCTCTGTGGTCCTGCGTGTCGGGGGTTGTTAGAGCTCTGTGGTCCTGCGTGGGGGGGGTTGTTAGAGCTCTGTGGTCCTGCGTGTCGGGGGTTGTTAGAGCTCTGTGGTCCTGCATGTGGGGGTCGGAGCCGCGCAGCTCTAGGTCATGACTTAGAAGCGAATAGTGCTCTGCCTAGTGCATGCTGCGTCTTAAGTTCCTTTATTAATGTCTCTTCTTTTCATGGGGGTGGGGAGACAAGTACCCTCAATAGGGTCTGGACATGGTGCAATCCCCTGCCCACCCCTAAGCCCCCAGCCAGCGAGGGTTATATGTGCCTGGCGTGTTCGGGATTCAAACCCAGGGCCTCCCACGTGGACTCCAGCATTGCAGTGCTGGGCCTCACCACCTGCACCAGCACAGCCAAGCTGACATGCGCACTTGAACGAGTGGTGATTGTGCTTTTTACGGTAGATTAAGATCTACCCAAGGTCAGTATGAAGCCAGGTTACACCTGTTAGTCCCTGTGCAGTCTCTTGCCCCATGTCATATTACCTGCCTTTTTTCTGTGGTCCTACTGGCTTTTTTCTACAATTAGCCACAGAGTAAAAAGGAATAAAAACCTTATCCAGCTTTTTGTCATTTTCCTAAGCTTAATTATCGAGGCTGTCCAGTCACCACTTTTAATCTCCTGAAGCAGATGTACTCAGCTGTTTCTCCACTGCATCGTACGTATGCTGGGAATAAAGAGGGACGTGATTCACGGCCGCTTTTCCTTGTTCATTTTACGGCCTCACGGGCTTTCAGCTTGCTCAGAAAGAACCAGAATTCTTTTAAACTTCCAGAACTCTTTTTTTTGTTTGTTTTCTTGGAGCGGTTTTTGCTATAGGGCGCGTGCGCTTGCCAGACAGACAGAGACAGAGAGACAGAAAGCGAGAAATCACCCCTGGCCATATCGCAATTCGTTCTCCTCCATTCTCCTCTCGGGATCTTGGGCACGCACGCACACGCGCTGGCGTGAGTTTAAGCTGCCAGGTCCGGGACTCGAACCGTGGTCGACTACATGGGAGTCCAGCAACATAGCCATTACGCTAACTGCTGGTTGGTCCCAACTTCCAGAACTCTTGATACCGTTCTTCACATTTGAAAACTGATAAATAAAACTTACTGTTGGAGTTCCAGGATCCATGTCTGTGTCTGGCTGTGTCTTTTCTTCCTAACTGAAGATTCCTTTGATATTTACCTTATGATTTTCTGTACAAGACAGATCATTAATCATTGGTAATTAACAAAGCTGCTGTTATTTCTAAAGTAAGTCTTTGTTAATTTGTAGGAATAAGCATTACCCAGCTATCATAAGCTCTTTTGAGCTGATCTCACGTGATCACTTGAGTTCTCTTCACTCGGACGCGAGCTCTTGTAGCTGCTCCCACATGTACAGGACGCCCGTGGATGTGGGCCATGTTCTCGTGGGCTGCAGGCTAGGCCTTGTGTGCGAACTGTGTCTTCAGTCTGTCTGTAGCAAGAAACACAGCAATTGAGAATAATTTTTATATCTGTTAAGTTTAATAATTTTTTTAAAATCGAGACTTGCATTTTTTCTTATTTTCATTTTTCTAGTTTTTCCTGCATTTTACTAAAGTACTGATCTGTGGCTTTTTTTTTTTTTTTTTTTTTTTTTTTAGAGAGAGAGATATTTTTGCTATAGGGTGCATTTGTTTGCCTGAGAGGCAAAAAGCAAGAAATCGCCCCCTGGGTGGATGGCCACACCACAATCCCTTCTCCATTCTCCTCTCAGGATTTTGAACATGTATACATACATGCCTGGCATGAGTTTTAAGCCGCCAGGTCCGGAACCATGGTCGACTGCGTGGGGATCCAGCAGTGTAATCACTACGCCACCTGCTGGTCCCTGTGACATATACTTTGAGAAGCATTGTACTAGGATTTGAAGTATGCTGTGAGGTGTCGTTCTTAGGGAATTAATCCTAGAAATCACATTGTTGAGCTTAACTGTTCACTAATGGTCAGTATGTCTTCTGACATCCTGCAATTTCTGCATCAACAGGGAGCTCCATTTAAATAACAACCTGTTACGAGTTCTACCTTTTGAGCTGGGAAAACTGTTTCAGTTGCAGACTTTAGGCCTGAAAGGTATGACTTCTGTGTTTATGCCTCTTAGAGTGCGTGTGTGTGTCTTCTGACTCTAAAGGAGCCGTAGAGAGAGTGCTCTCACCAGGGGGCTCTTCCCACGCTGCCCAGACGCTGATGCCCTCACGCCTCCCCCCTGTCCCCCGTAGATGCCCTGCCAGTCTTCATGCTCGCCCTCGTCCCCGCCTCACCTCACCTTGCTTTTCTGGCCTGCTTTGCCAAGTCTGTGTTCTGATGGGTTCCTGAGGACGTGCTTTCTTAGTTCATCATGTTCTAAACAGCTTTTTTCTTGTGCTCAAATCTCAGAAAATGAAGACTATCATAAAGTATCGGGAACCGGGCTGGCCCTGCCACCCAGCACTGATGCACTGAGCATTGGGAGCCAGTCCCACGAGGCTGACCAGGCTGTGAATCCCAGTCCTGGTGGCTTAAAGCATACCGAGTCGTGTGTGCACACCCAAATTCTGACCGGAGGGAGAGGAGCATGGAAGAAGGGGCTATGGCGTGCCATGCCCACTAGGGGTTGTGCCCATGAGTGCTCGGGTCCCTCTCCAGGGGCACATGCACCTTCTGGCAGTTAAAAAAGAAGAAACTGTAAAAAAAAAAAAAAAATAGTAATGGAAGATTTTAATCCATTTGGACCTGCTAATTAAGATCAGGATTTTAATATATTTTACCTTGATTTGTAAGGACTCGATTAATCTGTTAGAAATTGGACACATAACTGGGGACCAACAGTTGGCGTAATGGCTACATTGCTGGACTCTTTTCTTCCTAACTGAAGATTCCTTTGATATTTACCTTATGATTTTCTGTACAAGACAGATCATTAATCATTGGTAATTAACAAAGCTGCTGTTATTTCTAAAGTAAGTCTTTGTTAATTTGTAGGAATAAGCATTACCCAGCTATCATAAGCTCTTTTGAGCTGATCTCACGTGATCACTTGAGTTCTCTTCACTCGGACGCGAGCTCTTGTAGCTGCTCCCACATGTACAGGACGCCCGTGGATGTGGGCCATGTTCTCGTGGGCTGCAGGCTAGGCCTTGTGTGCGAACTGTGTCTTCAGTCTGTCTGTAGCAAGAAACACAGCAATTGAGAATAATTTTTATATCTGTTAAGTTTAATAATTTTTTTAAAATCGAGACTTGCATTTTTTCTTATTTTCATTTTTCTAGTTTTTCCTGCATTTTACTAAAGTACTGATCTGTGGCTTTTTTTTTTTTTTTTTTTTTTTTTGAGAGAGAGATATTTTTTGGTGCATTTGTTTGCCTGAGAGGCAAAAAGCAAGAAATCGCCCCCTGGGTGGATGGCCACACCACAATCCCTTCTCCATTCTCCTCTCAGGATTTTGAACATGTATACATACATGCCTGGCATGAGTTTTAAGCCGCCAGGTCCGGAACCATGGTCGACTGCGTGGGGATCCAGCAGTGTAATCACTACGCCACCTGCTGGTCCCTGTGACATATACTTTGAGAAGCATTGTACTAGGATTTGAAGTATGCTGTGAGGTGTCGTTCTTAGGGAATTAATCCTAGAAATCACATTGTTGAGCTTAACTGTTCACTAATGGTCAGTATGTCTTCTGACATCCTGCAATTTCTGCATCAACAGGGAGCTCCATTTAAATAACAACCTGTTACGAGTTCTACCTTTTGAGCTGGGAAAACTGTTTCAGTTGCAGACTTTAGGCCTGAAAGGTATGACTTCTGTGTTTATGCCTCTTAGAGTGCGTGTGTGTGTCTTCTGACTCTAAAGGAGCCGTAGAGAGAGTGCTCTCACCAGGGGGCTCTTCCCACGCTGCCCAGACGCTGATGCCCTCACGCCTCCCCCCTGTCCCCCGTAGATGCCCTGCCAGTCTTCATGCTCGCCCTCGTCCCCGCCTCACCTCACCTTGCTTTTCTGGCCTGCTTTGCCAAGTCTGTGTTCTGATGGGTTCCTGAGGACGTGCTTTCTTAGTTCATCATGTTCTAAACAGCTTTTTTCTTGTGCTCAAATCTCAGAAAATGAAGACTATCATAAAGTATCGGGAACCGGGCTGGCCCTGCCACCCAGCACTGATGCACTGAGCATTGGGAGCCAGTCCCACGAGGCTGACCAGGCTGTGAATCCCAGTCCTGGTGGCTTAAAGCATACCGAGTCGTGTGTGCACACCCAAATTCTGACCGGAGGGAGAGGAGCATGGAAGAAGGGGCTATGGCGTGCCATGCCCACTAGGGGTTGTGCCCATGAGTGCTCGGGTCCCTCTCCAGGGGCACATGCACCTTCTGGCAGTTAAAAAAGAAGAAACTGTAAAAAAAAAAAAAAAATAGTAATGGAAGATTTTAATCCATTTGGACCTGCTAATTAAGATCAGGATTTTAATATATTTTACCTTGATTTGTAAGGACTCGATTAATCTGTTAGAAATTGGACACATAACTGGGGACCAACAGTTGGCGTAATGGCTACATTGCTGGACTCTCATGTAGTCAACTGTCGTTTGAGTCCCAGACCTGGTGGCTGAAACTCACACTGGGTGCATGTGCGTGCGTGCCCAAGATCCTGAGAGGAGAATGGAGAAGGGATTGTGGTGTGGCCATCCCCCCGGGGGGTGATTTCTCACTGTGTGGAAGCCGAGGTTCCACATAGCCTCTTGTGGCACGTGGGAGCAGGGGCCCTGCTGGGAGGTGGGAAAGGTGGTGACACTGCTTGGTCTCCTCTAACACTGTCCCCAGAAGGGGCGGCCTCGTTACCGCTGGGGTGGAGTTGGTATTAGTGCCCTGCTAGAGGGACGAGAGTCCGGCCGTGCCACCGGTGGAGGGCTGGCGCATGCCCCGACCTGTTCAGGAGGGTGGAAGCCCAGGTCCAGCGGGGGGTTCGCGGGACGGCAGAGGTGGGGCACGTTCCTTCTCCCGCGTTGAGATGGAGCAGAGTGGTTCTTCCCGAGCACTTTTCGTCTTTTTTCTTTTTCATCACCAGCATGCGTGTGCTCACCAGTGAGGGGTGGTCATGCGGCAGTCTCTCCTGTCAGAATTTGGGACATGCACCCACATGGCACCCAGCATGTTCTCCAAGCCGTCAGAGCCAGGAATCAAGCCACAGTTGGCCATCGATACCCGGATTTCTTAATCGCTAGGCTACAAGGCCAGCTCTGCACCTTCCCATCTTTATAGGCGGCCTTCTCCTGGTCCTTTGCCTTTTGTTGGGGCTTTTCGGTCTGCTCTCATCGGCTCCGTGCCCCTGCTCCATGAGCTCTGTGTCCGGGTAGATGAGGCCGGAGGAGCCCCGAGCGGCTGCTGCCTTCCTTCCCCGGGACCCACGGTCTGGAGTCCTCTGTCTTCTCTCCACGTTTAACTCTCAGAGCCCTGGGCTCGTGCCCACACGTGCGGGTGCTCGCTGTGCTGGTGGGAGACCAGGGACAGTACGTCCACTTCATCCGTCCTGGAGGGACTTCGCTCACCTCCATTCCATACTTCCGAGGACTCGATACCACATTTAAATCCCAGAATTTTGTTGTTACTGAGTTTACCCCGTGTATATCACTTTTTCTCCAGTCAGTGAAGAATGGATTCATATTAAATGTAAAGCAATTTCAGAAAGTAAACAGACATTGAGAGGCAGGTACAGTGGACTTCAGGTCTAGCTATTAGAGTTATAAGTTGCTAATTGTGATTGGATTTTAAAAGAAAGTTTCAAGTGAGTTTGAAAGAGCTGAGAAAGCAGGGTCACGCAGTCCTGAGCGGCCAGCGCTCACCTTGGGTGTTTCTCACGGCCGGCAGGAGCAGAAGGCAGAGCCGGTGTAGGCCTGGTCGGGATGGGCCTTTCACCTGGGCCTGAGGCGGTGTGGTCAGGCCAGCCGAACACGACACCACCTGCCAGCCTCCACCGTCTGAGCTGTGCGCCCGCCCACGGGTCACGTCAGTTCATCTTGCTGGGCGGACACGCTTCGCACTCGGGCCAGCAGGCTTTCACCTTGTCATTCTCAGAATCTTGAAACTGAGAGATTTTCAGTCAGCTGACTTTGCTGTTTTTCTTCTTTTTTTGCCCCCAAGCCAAACTGCATCCGCTTTATTAAAGACGTTCCATAGACACTCGTGGCGTGTCGGGCAGGGCTGGGCAGACGGTCGGTCACAGTGCACAGCAGCTTCCAAGCGCCCTCTCCAGTGGACTCCCAGAGTCAGGGCGCCACTGTGAAACCCAGCGAGGTCTTGCTGGGATGTCTGCACAGGGACAGCTTCGCGTGACGGTGACATTCCGCATTTAGCACGTTGTTTAACAACTTTTTACGAGCTGACCCTGACTTTCGGGAAATGGAAACGGCAGAATTATCAGCCTGAAGAGCCAACAATACAGAAAAGGAACTGCTGCTCTTTTGAAGGACACCATCTCAACGTCACTGTAAAGTCCAGGTGGCCTGACACACCGGCATACCCAGTTTTCTGTGGTCGGGTCCCCACAGGCCTCTGGTGAAAGGGAGTTAAGTCTATGCTGAAGGCAGAGAGGAGAGGACATAGAAGCAACGGTTAAGTTTTCCACAGCACAAGGCATCTGTGCCAAGGGGCTGTGTGTGTCAGGGAACCCCTCCTCTTGGGAGCCCAGAAGTCTCTCAAAACTAGAAGGGAAAGATGTTGTCTAAATCAATCCAGCTTCAGAGACATTCTATTAGTGACAAAGGCCCCTTCCCCTCAAAACAACAACGAATGTTCTGTGTGCTGACAACATAGCTCACATAACTAACAAAAAAGGTAAAACAAATTCTGCATTTTTATAAAACTTGATAAAAAATAGTGTTTCAAACTGTGCAGTCACCAGGAGTGCACAGTTGTCACAAATGCACGCGCGTCACTTGGCATCTCCAGCACCGTCAGCTTCCTGTGCCTGGTCTCTTTGGGCACCTCCATTTTCTGCCGGGTTATTCCCCTCCTCGCCAGCATCGGCTTTTCCCGTTCTTCCTTTGGGCGCCTTCTCTCCCTGCTTTGCAGGGTCCGTCTTAGGCTTGGGCCGCGGCTGTGGAGGAGCAGGCTTCGCAGACAACCTGGCAGATCTTCCCTGTGGCTTATCTCCTTTAGCCTCCCCTTCAGCCTTTCTCTTGGGCATGGTGGGACGAGGGCGGGACGTAGGCGCTGGGCGCGGGGGATGCAGCGGCGCAGGCTGTGGTCATTCCGGGGTCGCTCTCGCCTCTTCTTCACACTGCTCCACTTGGCTGCTTTTCTTTCTTTTTTTTTTTTTTTTTTAATAATTATCTTATTTATTCATTCATTTTTTTTTTAAATTTGACGAGAGAGACAGAGGGTGAGAATGAAAAAGAGAGGAAGTGAGAAAGCAAGCCACCAGATTCAGGACTTGAACCCTCGTCAGCCATGTGGGAGTGTCCAGTGCCTTAACCACCACGCCACCTGCTGGTCCCCTTGGCTGCTTTTCTCACCTACGTAATCCAGCTTCCTCAGAGGCTTCCGCTCTCCCAGCGCAGGGCGCTTCACGTCCATGACTGATACGTCCCGGCCTTGTCAGTTCTCAGTTGACCTTTCCCGTTAGCCCCCGTCCTTCGGTTCTCATTCTGCCTTTGAGTCACCTGTTACAGAATAGGGGGAACCCGTTGTCTCTGGGCTCTGATAACTTTTACATGCCTTCTCTGTGTCTCAGTGGAGTATAGTTAAGCTCTGTCATCATTGTGTCTGCCTCTCCAATCAGACTGTACCTTTTAAGGGAGATGTTGGTATAGGGTACATGGACTTCCTAGAGAGACAGAGAGACAGAGAGCAAGAAAACACCCTCTTCCCTGGGACGTGTGTGGCCAGGCCACAGCTCCTTCTTCTCGGGATTTTGAGCACACACATGTGTCCAGTGTGAGTTTCAAGCAGCCGGACCCGAGACTCCTACTGTGGTCGGCCATGGGGGAGTCTTAACCACTACGCCACCTGCTGGTCCCAGACCGTATCTCTCTTCCAGCACTTAACCTGTCCTTGCGCGCAGGCCGGGGAGCTTTGCCGCGTGAGCGCTCGGTGTGCCCTGTGTGGACGCAAGGAGGCCTGAGAGGGCGCGAGGATCTTGTCAACGCGTGTGTCACTGTGTCTGCTGCTGCTTCTGGCACTTACAAAGCAGCTGCCGAACTTGCAGATGTCTCGTGACCCTAGGGTTCTCCACTTCTTCAGCAAGTAACTCTTAGACCAGGGCTGTTCTCTCTCGTTCCTTTATTCAGGATTTTTAAAAACTCTTACATGTAAGACTGAGTCCATCTGGGGGTATTTTCTCACTTGCTTTGTGGAGTTCTCAAGCACGACCCCGGTTCACTGTATCAGCTGCCATCGTTCCAGTCTCTTGGCCCATCTGCTCCCTGCAGTCCGGGAGCGGTCAGTTGCACCGTGAGGCACATCTGTGTTGCTGTAGGCGTGGCGGGCAGGCTTAGCCACGCGTTGGGGTGGGCGTCGGGCACTCGGGTCCTTCCTCTTCCGCCCACGGCTGTGGGCATGTCGAGATGGCTCCTGCTCTTCCCGTGCCCTGTGGTTCAGTACCCACCAGTAATGAGCATGTACAGATGGTCTGATGTGTTGGTGATTTTTCAGTTTTGACACATTCAGTACTTGTCTTGGTCTCATTGTAGCTATTTTAAAATATTTCCAGGAAATCCACTTACCCAGGGTATATTGAACCTCTACCAGGAACCAGATGGGACAAGGAGGCTACTGAACTATTTGCTTGATAATTTGTCAGGTACTGCCAGAAGAAGTAAGTGGTCATTTGTTTAAAATCGTTTTCATTAGGAAGAGGTATAAGAATATCGCTTAATTCTGTTTTCTCTTCACCTAGTTTCAGCAGAACAGCCACCTCCAAGGTCTTGGATTGTGCTACAAGAACCAGACAGAACAAGGCCAACTGGTTGGTACCCTTCATTCCTAGCCTATTTTCACTTAGTGTCTGGGCCCCACGGCACTAAGCGCGGGCCACATTAAGACGGCGTTAAGGCTGGGCTGGTGGGGCCCCGCCTCTCACTCCCGGCCTCTGTGAAGACGGTGCTATGGAGAGACTGCACAAGGTGGGCTTCTCAGCCTGGGCAGCCTGACCCCAGGGGCGTTTGGCAATGTCTGAGACCTTTTCTAAAATAAAAGAGATTTTTGGTATAGGGCATGTGCGCTTGCCAGAGAGGCAGAGACAGGAAGCAAGAAGTCACCCCCCGGGGGGATGGCCACGCCGCAGTCCCTTCTCCCATATTGTCCTCTCGGGATCTGGGGCACACCCGCACATGTGCCCGGCGTGAGTTTTATGCTGCCAGGTCTGGGACTCGACCTCAGTCAGCTATGTGGGAGTCCAGCAATGTAACCATTATACCATCTGCTGGTCCCTGGGACAATTTTGACTGTCACAAACGGGGGCGTTCTGCTGGTGTCTAGCAGGCAGAGACAGGGGCTGCCCCACATCCCATGGTCGGTGCACAACCCAGTCCTCCACACCAAGACTGCCCTCCCAGAAGCCGCTGCTGCGAAGGGCCAAGCGGGTGCCCCGAGAGTGGGAGACCAGAGACTCCTGTGCTGGGAGTCTCCACGTGCTGGAACGGGTCATGTTTATTTAACAATACAAAATCACAAGGCAGCTAAGACCTTACTTGAGAGAAGAATGGAACGAATGGCTTCTAAACCACTTTCAGTTAGAATTCCATGAAAAGTAGTTCGGGAGTTTCTGTGGAGCTGTGACAGGGTTAGGTTCTGCCGCGGAGCTCACTCCAAATGGCCAGGCTGCTCTGCACAGAGCCAGACACCTGTTAAGGAAGCTCTCGGGCGTCTCCACGTGGCGTGGTGGATGGGTGCGCCTGAAGAGCCTCAGTCTGAGAGGCTGCGGGGCTCGAGCTGCAGAGCCTCCACGTGTGCCGTAGCAGGCAGCACACTCTGTCCTGGCTTGGTCTCCCTTTGTGTCCATGTTTTATAGTCCCCGTATCTGGCTATAGTCACTTCCCGGGGACTGTAGTGAACGAGTAAGGCTGGACATTAAAGTGTAAGCCGTTGCTCAAACTACCTGGGTGGTTTTTCTGCCGTGTGTGAATAAGCGGAGTTATCTCTCCTACAGCCTTGTTCTCTGTCATGTGCTATAATGTTCTTTGTGATAAATATGCGACCCGGCAGCTGTACGGCTACTGTCCATCCTGGGCACTAAGCTGGGACTACAGGAAAAAGGCCATCATCCAGGAGATCGTGAGCTGCAATGCTGACATCGTTAGTCTCCAGGTAAGCCCTGCAGGGGGCTCACACTGCCCGGTCCCAGCGCTGAGCGGGGCGCGTGAGCCCAGGTCACCGCGGCTGGCGGCTCACAGCTCTGCTCTCCCATGCTGGCTAGTCGTGGGTGCGTGGCCGTGCTGCTGCCAGCTGTGCCACCTCATGGCAGCGGCGTTCAGTGGGCTTTGAGCGATGGTACGGCATCTCACTCTCCCTTCCTCCCCCACAGTGTCCCTACATGTTATTCTTTTTTTTTTTTCCTTTTTTGGGAGAGGTTTTTGCTGTAGGACGTGTGCGCTCGCCAGAAAAACAGAGACAGAGAGACAGAGAGCGAGATATCACCCCCCAGTGGGGATGGGCACGCACGCACACATGCCCGGCATGAGCTTAAGCTGCCGGGTCTGGGACTCAAACTGCAGTCGACCACATGGGAGTCCAGTGACATAGCCATCACAGCAACTGCTGGTCCCCCTACACGTTATTCTGGAATTACTGGATTGGTACAAAAGCACGTGTGGTCTGGGGCCGCGAGTCTTACATTGTAAACTAGGCTCCGGCTCATCTCTTCATCCCAATGGCAGCATCGCAGTCGGTGCGCTTGCCAAGCAGAGGTAAGTGTGCCTACTCCGGAGCGCAGGCCCACGCCTCGGGGCGCGACCCGCTCTCAGAGAGCGTCCTCTGCACCCTGCTGCTTGTGGGAGCGTTTTCCCTGCTGTTGTCGAGATGCCTGACAATGGGTAGTTGGTGGCGGAGGCCCGGTGATGTGGCGGGTGAGGCGGAACTGCCCAGTCTGGAGCATTGGCTGTGCAACATGCAGCCCGGCGGCAACATGGGGCAGAGCCACCCTCTGCTGACGGGCGGCGCTGGCGGGGGTTGG